TGAACATTTGGAAGCTGAATCAACAACTGGTTTCGAACAGGTAGTGCAACAATCCTCATCTCCAGCGGCGCCAAGCGCTCTACCTTTGCATGAGGCGACGCATTTGTCTGCTCTTTAGCTAGAAGACGCTCCGACAGAGCGCGACAGTCCTCAACGTGAGGCAGCTGATGCACAACGTGCTGCAAGCTTTCTAGGTCTTTTGCGCAGCGATATGAGACCCCAACATGATGCTCAGCGGAGCCCTGATCGCAACGGACCTCGTTCTCAAGAACTCGAAGAGCATCGCGAGTCATCGGATAGCGATCGACCCATCCACCGCCGACTCTCTTCGACGGGAATGGTGGTGTCTACTATCATGTAGAGTGCCTTGTGAGTCGATGACGTCGCCATGGTCAAGCCCAGTATCTTTTGAAGTGGCGATGATACTCCGACTTCGATAATTCGTCGAAATTTGAAGTGCCGCTTCGGCCAGACTGCCCAGTCGTCGTGGACGCTTATGATCAAAGGAATCATACCGCACCGCGTCGTCAAACTCACCGCGCTTCTTGAGAATAGCTTAGGAAGCCGAAGGGCCATGAGCTGAGCTCAAGCAATGGCCCTGACCTGCTGTGGTCGCAGACTCACCCGCGTGAGAAACCACAGAGCTCGCGGTAGCGTGATGGATTAATTCTTACGTTGCAGGGCGATAATAGTAAGAAGTCGGCGTTGCGCCTTGAGTTTGGCAAACTCATACAGATTGAGATGGCGTTATACGCACACGTCCACTTCCTAGTGGCTCCGCTGTTGGTTAGAAAGCCAGTAAAGTTTTCGTTGTCGCTGCACCATCGCTCAAAGAGCTTTTCATCATCTACAGTGATTTTACCAGGGGCGAATACCGCAGAAATCGTTCACATTATGGGTACAGGAGCGCCTCCTCTTTGAGCGCGAAGTTGACCGTGGTATCGTTCCATTCGAATTTTTTGAGGTACCAAGAAGTGAGCTTGGAGAGCTTTTAGTTGGTCAAGCTTGGCTTCTGTAATGACCAGGGGCCTGACTGCGTAGACTCCAGACGATCGAAGTGATCGCGTCTTTTGCTTCAGTCGCGGGATCCGCCGAGCGGAAGCCGTATAACACACGAGGGTCAAGGGCCGAACGTAGATACGAGCGCACGTGCGCCGCCCTGTGGGCAGCCTCCATTTGCTGCCTCTGTGCCTCATCTAGGCGAATCGTAATGATACCATTTCCCTCTGAAGTCGAGAGATCGAGAAACGGACTTGATGTTCACAAGGTTTGAGCTTGGCTCACGTCGCACTGTTGACGCACTTCATCATCCTCGTTTTCCCATGCTGGGAAAAGAGTATCCGACTCGTAGTCGACTTCCTCCGAATATTTGACGATGACATCCTGCGGCCGTGGTAGGCGCGGTGGCGGCGCCCAGTTGTCGAGGGCTTGGGATTCGATTCCCGTAATGCCGCGGACGTAATGTCCGGAGTTGCACCCCGTGCAGGAGACGAAGAAGGGGAGGCGGGGCGTTTCCCTGTCATATACAATAGGCTTGTGCAGAGAATACGTGAAATAGGTCCTGGGGACGTCAAGGTGTCTCAGACACTAGGGCCTCGTATGAGGCGACAGTTGAATGTGAATTGTGGGTAATCACCATTTCGATAAGGGAAAGTGTAATGGGGGTTACATGTACCCTGGTAGGAAAGGGTAAGCCACAAAAGAAGGTGTGCCCGTACAATGGTGTAGATTACACAAGACGGTGTAATCAGACAATGGTGTGGCTACACCTTAACAAGAAGCCACTACTGTCAGTAGTTATGCATATTAATTAGGTTTACTATATTTAGGAGCTCCTAAATATTTAGATATAGACGGCTTTGCCAGATAAATACAGCTTCAGCTTTGAACGAAAGAGTGTATTAGGCTTAATTTGAGATTTTAAATTCTCTTGGAGGTAGTAGGTTGCGACCCGCCACACTAATACTGGTTTTCATGTAGAACGTTATGTCTGTGCCTTAGTAAACTTTACCAAGCAAAGAGCTACGACAGCCTCTCTGCAGGAAGGTTTTGATGTATGTCTTTAAGTGGGACTAACATGTCGGGGCCAGGAATTTCAGTAGGCCATTTTATAAAAAATAGCTCAGCTGCCTGATTGTAAATGGCTTGTAAATAGTCGGCCGCGCATTTTTAATCGGTTCGTTGAACCACAAGTACGCGTTGGGGGAAGAATTCCGATGCGAATGAGACTCATAAGAGCCGGCATTGTGAGGTGCAAGTAGTGACGTGAAACTTCGAGTGTATTGAAAATTCGATGAGCTTGCTTTTTGCAACGTCTTTGGGAAACGCAATCAGTGTGCACCATTGTGGTGTACGGCTTGGTAGAGGGTGTGGAATGGGTTATGAGCCGTATTGTATTATGCAAATGTATATAGGTCTATGCGATTGCGCAAAAGCAGAGACCTCAAAACGATTGACCTGATGCTACGATCGGCGATGCAGCGGGCTGCCGTAGCTCTTTTGCTTAGAGAAAGCTAAGCTAAGGTCGATGACCTTACTTTCTATACTAGAACCAGTACGAGTGTAGCTGATCCATGCTTCTTATAAAAATGGTAAAACGTATTTAACTTGTCGTACTATAACCAGAGTTCATTCCAGATATTTGTCACTCTTGAAGTAACATAGCAAGATAAATATCTGGTCAATAGAGGAGCTTTTGAGATGCATGGCAAACCGGTTACTGCTCTTTTGAGTCACAATGCTGATGCGCACAAAATGCATCCTCTACATCGACTTAAAGCTTGGGGAAGACTGTCCAGCTTTCGTGTTGTGCCGAACTCCAGATCTCTACAGTTGAGATGTTGTGTAACTGGCTGTCGAACCACCGACTGCAAAACCCGTCGGTAGTTGAGACGTAAGGAAGGAAGACACTGTGGTTGACTTTATTGTAACGCAATCCTGCGTATCACAAGTGACTTAGCCAAAAAAAGTTGGGCGTGTCGCGTCGTTCAATTTGCCTTAACACGGATGATTACGCTCAGCGGACATTTGTACGCGCTGATGAACTCAATAGCATCGACATCAGTCCCTGTCCTCACAGCGTCGCACAGTATCAGCCATGAACCAACACAAGCGAGTCATTGACGGTGTTTAAGGTCGCGCAGGTCATAACGACGCTTTGCGAATAGACTTAGTGAGTTTTCGAAAATTCGCCGCGTTTTTGGCAACAGAGTCAAGCTACAGTGCTAGAATTCGTACAGATTTTATTATTTTCAGCTATAACTCTTCGATTTCGTAGTTGGCATACAATACATCGCAAAACGTAGTGAAATAACAATTACCACGAATTGACTTCTTTGTCGATAGCACTGCGGTCCTTCGACGGCTTTTCGACGTTTGTTGAGGCTTTGAAACCCCTTTTCCGAAAGCGACAGCCGTCACACTCTGCGGTGAAAAAGACTTACTGTTTTTTGCGCGGAAGGTCACTGAGACTAAGTCAGGCCATGGGGTCGACAAAAGATAGCTAGATAGAACTCAGGCGAAGCTAGTGACTGTTCCAGTGTAGTGGCATCCTCAAAACCCTGCAATCAGACGAGGTTTGATCAGCAATTGAGTAACAGAGCTTATGAAAGTTGTTGCTCACCGTGTGATCATGGGGTAGATGTGCAACTTGTCCTGTCTAGATTTGTCATAGGATGGTTTATTGCGTGTTTTTATGTGGACTGAGCATTTTTACCCAGTGAGCTCATGCGTTGCCATGAATTCATGGCCAAGCAGTACATATTATAGCCCAGAACCGAATATGATTTAATATTTTCTTCATTGACATACTAGTTTCGATCGAGTTCTATCTCACGTCAATCAGAGTTCCACTTCCAGGCAGCAACTATCAGAACTTAGAATTATGGGCACAGGAACTACAATGACTTGACCGTAACGATACTGGATACAACCATCTAATCAAGTATTATAAATATAGACACCAGTAGCACGTTTTGTAGAAACTCAACAGCATTACTCCATGTAATCTCAATCGAGTGTTTCTTAGCCAACCAGAATGCGTAGTAAGCTGCATTCTTGGCAATCCTGATCTTGTCTTAGTGCTGAAAAGACTGCACCTACCTGCAAATCTACGAGTTGACAATGTGCTTGTGCCAACTATATAAAATAATTATCGCAAGACCTGTATCACAGAGCAGGCGAGTCATTGGGTACTTGTGCTCTAATAAACTGTGGCAAACTGCTCAAATTCGCCATGGTTTTATCTTATTCAAGCATAAAGTTGCCGTCAGCAAGCGCATTAACACCTAATCTGATTGTGCACTCCGAGAAATGGCTGGTATGCACCTTTGCATGCTCAAAGTTCAATCATTTTTATAATGGTGAGACTAATAAAATCATCAGGTCGCAAGATGGTGGTAGGCGAACATAATGCAGTCAAGAGCGCGCATGGCAATGTAGTAACCAGTGACAAAATCTATCCTGTAGGCACCATATTGAAGGTCCTCTGTTGTCAGATTTTCATTTAGAGCCAGTATCATCCAGAATCGGAGAAATTTCTTAATAAGTCAGCTCTATCTAAGTGGTAAAAGGATGAAAGATAGTTACGGTTGGATATGCCTTGACCAGATCAAGTCGCAAAATAAGCCAATCATAAAATTCGCAGACCCCTCATTTCCGATTTTGACTTCTGTTGATATAGACACCACCACTTTTGAACGTCATGTCAGAACATGAAGTGCGAGCGTCTTTCCCCTCGTGCACAGC